TAGTGCAGTAAAAACAATTAAACAGCACACACAAGACACTACCAGCAACTTTTACGGACCAGCAAAGACCCCGTTGCAAGTCTTGTCTGATTTCTGAGCACCCAGCTCCTCCAGCGGAAAGGAGAACAGAAGCCATCTCTGGAAGTGGGCTGGAGGGACGGGGGCGGAAATCAGTTTTTTAAAGTGTCCAGAGAGACAGATGCAGTTGTAAAAACAATTAAACAGCACACACAAGACACTACCAGCAACTTTTACGGACCAGCAAAGACCCCGTTGCAAGTCTTGTCTGATTTCTGAGCACCCAGCTCCTCCAGCGGAAAGGAGAACAGAAGCCATCTCTGGAAGTGGGCTGGAGGGACGGGGGCGGAAATCAGTTTTTTAAAGTGTCCAGAGAGACAGATGCAGTTATCAGGTTGGATTTAGCAGCTTTTTCTAATTCCTGAGCATAAGGGTCTGGGTTGGACAAAGCTCCCACCCAGAAATTCCCCTTCCACACGTCATCGAGACATGAATTCAAATACAACCCGCTCCAGACCTCAAACTGATCTGACTTCTGAAGATGCCAGGTACTTGTAACGCAGGATCCGAGACACACGGAAAACTAGGAAGTTACCCAGAGAGCTCTCCTACAACGGCTGCGGGGGAAGCCAAGTCGCCCTGAACCAGAGAACTAGCTGGATTTCCCCAAGAAAAATGTTGCATTAAAAAAAATAAACACACGTGGAAATTTGCCAGTTGAAAGAGGGAAAAATGCAGCGAGAGGGTGACCCTAAAAACGCCACCCAGCTGGGTGGGAAAGACGAATACCAAACTGAGTTCCTGCAGCAGCTTACAGAGTCTCTAAAGCACAACGCAAAGGCCTGCCCGACAGCGCAGGGAAATTGGAAACAGTGTCACAAAACCCACCGCTGGGCTTCGAGAGCGATTAGCGCGTGTCCTCTCCCTGGCCCGGGTGTGTTGCAGCTCCAGGATCAGAATAAAAGGAGACAGAACTTTGTGACCGGCAGCTGGGCCGGGCAAACCCCCCCTCTGTTCGGATCTCCAACCCAAGTCAGGCATCTCGCTCCCTCCACGGCCCACAGCCGCTTTCTGCAGTCTGGCCCTGAAGCCTCCGATTCTGCTCCTGGGAGAAACTCTCTGTTGTCATACAACTGAGCAGAGCAAGGCCAATTAGCATAAGGCATCATGGGAAATGTAGTTCTCTATGAGAACAACATGTGGGCCGCCTCCCATTTCAGCAGCCGAGATGGTGGACACCCATTGGGCATCTGCTGCCCCTGACGACGGTCTCCGAGATCTGCCCTGCCAGCCGGGACAGTGCCACCGCACTTGGCTGGGGCAGAGGGTCCGATCTCAATGAGAATCTTTTCCGTTGGCGGACACAGCTCCGCCGCTGGCTGCCTGCGAACGGGAACCCAGGAGAGCCGCTTGCTCGGCCAGCAGTTACCTGGTAATTCACACTCTTAGCCTGTCAACCTATGTCCCCTTATTTCCAGCTTCCGGGCAGCAGATGGGGAGGGCTCAGGCTGTTCAGAGCCCAGAGAGATGCAAGAAGTCACCCAAGGGATGGCATTGTTAACGTCTGCAATCAGCACACACTTATTTATTGACAAATCTCTCCCTGGACCACACGCAGCCACCATGGGCACAAAGAGGAAATAAAGTTGAGCGAAAGAGGAAATAAAGTTCCCAGGCATGACCAACACTGAAAGAAAGGAACAAAACCAAAAACACAAACCCCCTCACAAATGCAAATAAATTAAATTCCCGACAAGTAAACTTAATCGAACCTGGCGGGATTCCGTCCTCTGTATTTTAAAAAATAAAATAAAGGAAAAAATACAAACAAACAAGGCCAAAATAAAGTACAAAACCCCCCGAAACTGAACCGCAATCACCACCAAGTGTCTGGAAAAAAAAAATACATAAAGCTCTTTGTGGACTGTCCAGCACAGACAGACAGACAGACAGACAGAACGGCTTAGCCTACGTTCTGGGTAAGAAGCCGTGGCAGCCGTCCCTGGCAGGTAGGAAGGCTGTCCATGGGACAGCAGCCCGTCTCCTCCTCCGGGGAGCCGAGCCACAGGCGCATTCGGGAGGCTCGGAGCGGGAGGGGAGAAAGGAGGAGGTGGAAGAGCTGTCCAAGAAGAGTTTAATTCCACTTAGCGGCCCTGGAGGATCAGTTCCCTGCGGGAGGCTGCCCCGCCTGAAGCCGGATTTCTCCCCGGTGCCGCGTAAGGCCACACGTCCAAGTTCCGGAAGCTCGGCTGTTTGGCTTCAAAAGGCCGTGGCGTTTCGATGGCGACAGGACCGTGCGGGGAGGGGAGCGGCTATTTGGCATCGCTCGTGTCTGCAGCGTAGCTCCCGGCCAACACGTCAGGGGCACGAGCAGCTTCCCCGGCCCCACCCCTCTCCCACGGCTGCGAAGTGGGGCCTGTCCACACAAACCCAGGCCCCGGGCAAGCGCCCGGCAGGAGAGCTGCGGCTTTCCCGCAGAGCGAGAAAAGAAACGAGGGAGGGGCTTAAAGCTTCAGAGTGAAGGTGAATGGTCGGGTTGGCCCCACGCCGAGACCCACTGGCCCCTTTTGGTTCAGGTCGCGGCAGGAGGCCACAGAGACGGCAGTATCCAGGCCCGTCAAAAGCCCCCACTTTCTAGGGGCCCGGTGCTATACAAAGCCAGGTAGGAGTCCCACGGAGTCTGGCACAAGGCAAACCGCCATTTGCCTGCGCTGCTGGGGGGCTGCTCCGTGACCCACGGGAGGGCCCCCGAGGCCGGGAATCGCTTGTCAATGAGGAGCCACGCGCTTGGAGGAATAATGCCCTGATATAATGCTGTGACCGACGGGGGAGGGGGAGGGGGCAGCGGCTTAGACAAAGGGGTTTTGTTCTTTTTTTTTCAAGCACAAAATGTCTCTCTCTTTAAAAGTCTTTAGATCTCCTCCACGCCGTGTGCAAAGATCATCACCAGGCCCGGCTCCAGCACCATGTCCTCCCCCATGTGCTGGTTCTCGCAGGCCATCACCACCACGGCCTGCTTGCCGGGGATGCGCTTGGCCACGTAGTTCTCGTAATAGCGCCGGTTCATCTGGCGGGTCTCCAGGGTGGCCAGGCCCTGCGGCCAGTTCCGTTCGTGGGCGTTCTCGATCAGCTCGTTGATGATGGAGGTGGGGCAGCCGCTCTCCACCCGCGAGCGCTTGATGGCGGGCCGGGGG